GCTCATCCAGGATTTTATGTCCTTAAGACATGTTTGTAATTTAGATAATTGATTAATTTCATCGGGCTTGATTGATAGATATAACTGCGTATCATCTGCATAACAGTGAAAGTTAAGTGAGTTCGATCTGATGAATAGCCTATTGGGACTTTTGTTGTTGTCAGTCGGGTTAACTGGAGATTTGTCTGTGAATTACTTTTTGGTAAAGAAATGTTTATCTGTCCATATACCTTATAACCTATAAACATGAAATATATCCTTATTTGGTGCAATAACAATGCTTTAAGGGTATTCTGTATTTTCTCACTCCCCTCAAATGTGTAAGGGAAGGAGTCATCACTTTAAAGCATAAAAAAAATGGAATGTAACAGGGCAGAAGAAATCTAAAAAAACAAAAGATTTTAAAATCATTTAATGAATTTTTACGAATTTTTCTTTTGCTTTATTTACAGATGATTATATTTCAGTCTCTTTCAGATACACATATACAGTGAAAGACACAAACAGTTATGCACTTTCTTATGCTGCTTATGATGATTTTTTTCAGCAAATGATCCTTCAGTGCTGCAAAATCACCTCAAACTCTCACCACTACTCACTGAATGTCAGAAACAATATTGCCAAACCATTGATAAAATGAAAAAAAGAAAAAAAACATTTCATAAAGAATGCAATTCATTGAGTAAAATAAAATAAAAAAGAACAAGACAACGTGTGTGTGTGTGTGTGTTCCATATTTATAATAAGATTCAGATTCTAACTTTTCACATTCAGTTATGACATTTTTATTACTGTCCCTTAGTTTGTGACATGCAGTCACATATTGTGCAGCTAACTGCACCCCTCTCCTAATATAAGCAGTTGTTTTTCATGGTCATTTTAAATAAAAGTTTGGAATTACTGAATTCAATTTAATTTTCCAATCTTTAACTGCTGCTGATAAACAAAAAACTGCATTCATCTGCCAAGCAGAATTTTATCCGTTTGAATGAATGGCGCAGGGAATTGGGCACCTGCCACATTTCAACAATTTATGGAGAAGACTGTTGGTGATATGAACCTGCTGGAAGTTGTGGTCTACCTCAATGATGTAATCACTTGACAAGGAACATGAGCAGTACCTTCTGTGAGTGCTAAAGAGACTAAAGAAAGAAGGACTATGATACTAGGATAAATGTCTGCTGACCCTCTGTAACCTACCTTGTTCACATTGCGTTTAGACTGAAGCTGTGAAATGGTGGCAATGCCGAGAGAACACTATGAGTCCAAACAGAAACTGCATGTTTGTGTAAAAAGAACAATTTGGATGGATATTGAGCAGATTATCTGCAGTAAGCATCAGATATGAGATTTACTGATCGTTTTAGGAACTTTTTATACAATCATCTGTCTGTATTATGCATTTTTTATTGATGTATTTTACTGTAAAAGTCTGCAGAGATTTTCAGGAAGTGACTGAACTGCTTAAAATAGTAAGTTCAGAGTGTAGGGGTTTGTGTTTTACAGGTTCCATCCTGTGGTGTTCAGAGGATAAGCCACTGAAGGACAACACTAAGATATATTATTGAGATATTCAGAGTTTTCATTTAGTCTATTTCAGCATATTAATTAGGAAGGGTAAACAGACACTTTCACTGGAACTACCTGGTAGGTGTCCTACATCAGACACCCTGCAGCCAATCTGACAAAGTATTTATCCAGACCATGGTATAAAAAGTAATAAACTAGTTCCACCTTAACAAAGTACAACAGTAAAGTGCTTCTTATGCACAGATGAATCAGTATTAATGATGTAATCTGTCACTGGGGCCAATTTTCTACAAAATAAGTATGCTTACTAGTAATACTTCTGTACTTAATTTCTTAACTGTAATAAATTCTATTTTAAACTTAGTCAAAGATTCACAGACCAGCCAGCAATCTTCATATCTCTCACTGTGTCCTGGTAAGGACATAGAGGCTGATTGTTGACCTTTCTTTCCTCAAAAGACCAGTGTGTAGGATTTAGAGTCATCTAATGGTGAAGCTGCTGCAACCATTTGCCTTTAACTCAGCCTTACAAGCATGTAGGAGGTGGCAGTTAAATTCGCAAAAAAATTTGAAAGTTCCTATCTAGAGCCAGTGTTTGGTTTGTAGATTCACAACAATGCTTACTTGTGGGTGGGTGTGGCTTAGAGGTAGAGCGGGTCATCCACTACTTGGAAGGTTCCCTTCCTCTTTGAGGACCACATTTGGGTGTTTTAGCTCTAGTAGCTGCTGGGACAGCAGAGCGGTCAAATCATACACGTTCATACCATACCTTCAGATTCAGCCTCTGTGTGACAGCACACATGCTACAGCCACGTCTTCTTATGTCCTTTTAGAATTAAACCCCAACTTCTGTGGACATCCCATGGGTGGATCAAGACTCCTGTGGTTTAGTTGTGGACTCTGGCACCCTTGATGGTTGTCTTGGCTGAAGCTGGAGGTCTGGCAGCTCTACTTGTTGCTGTGCTTGGATGTTGGACTCTGATGTATCAGATGTTTGCAGAGACTGTCTCTCTGATGGGTCTTGCTGTTGTTTTGATGGAATCCTTGACTGTGACGGATCTGATGGCCTGCAATGTGAATCTAGATGCAACTGTCTCTGCAGCTCCTCAGCACTGTGGGCTAACATGATGCTCACCTTCCGCTGGTGGGCCAGGGCCTCCTCCTTGTCATTCAGCTGCAGCAGGAAACACACCATCAATAACTTAACGACGAAAAATTTACCTGTGGCTCTTTTTTTATTTTATGTAATTTGTAATAAAATATTTAAGTCCCTCAGTCTTTGATTTTTCCTAAAAGTGTGTTATGTAACACATTTTATTGTTAAGAATTATCAACATAAAGCCAAATTTAAAAAATTTGCATTTATACCTGTAAGCGCTAGTAGGTAAAATTAACCACTATATAGAATGCAGTCATTTTTGTGCTATGAATTTTACCGTTTAGATAAACATTCTTTGTTGCTTTTGCCTATTGTCTACTAACATGCGTGGAGCTGGGTCATAAGTCATAGGTTAACCTTCAATATGGACACTGAAGTGAAATTAATGTTGAATATGGGTTGGCTAGGGTTAGGGTTAGCTCAGTGGGTAGAGCTGGCGACCCATGTACAGAGTCCTCGCTGCAGCTGCCCAGGGTTCGAATCCGACCTGTGGCCCTTTGCTGCGTGTCATCCCCTCTCTCTCTCCCCCCCTTTCCTGTCTGTCTTCAGATCTCTATCATAAAAGGCAATAAAAAAGCCCCAAAAAAATAATACTTAAAATATATATATAATGTTGAATATGGGTCAAGAGAGTTTGGATGCAAAATCTAACATCAGACTTGGCTCACATCGCATTGCCTTGAACACAGGTCAGGTTTTGTCTTTGGGTCTATGATATTCGTATGATACTTATTAACTATAATATTATATGTATATACTCAATTTTATACCTGTACCCCTAAAGAGTAGAGTCACCCCTTGATCACCGTAGGACAAGTAGCAAACGTATAGCTGCTGAAAGATCATAGATACAGAGTTGTGTTGGTACATTCCTAGTATTTCTATTCTATTCAGAGCGTGTGTGCTGCTGAAAATACTCCCCCAGGACCAAGCAACCTCTGTAAGCCAATATTCTTTAGAGGAGACGTGACTCAGACTATAGATGTTTGGGTGTAACCTGGGAGGAGCGGGTATTATGGTGACATGAAAAGGGAAATGAACATGCAGGGCAACTCCAGCTGCCTTCAGTTAATTTGGAAACAATGCTGGTGGTGTGGTGACAGGGGGGTGCTCCCATTGGTTCAACCTGAAAAATTAACAAATCACCGACTCGTGTAACCTTGAAAATCAATGCATTCCTAAACAGTGGTTAAATTGTTATCTCCTTGTTTGGTTTAGGTATACATTGTGACCTCCTGCGGGGTTCTCGTATTAAAAGTGGAAGCAAATATACTGTTTCTATACGAAGCCCTAAAGGGCCATGCATTCATACTTTTATTTTCCTCCGTTTCCTGCTATAACGAGTTAAATAAGCTGTGATATGATAAACTGCGGCAAGCAGCCGTTTACTCATCTCCGTGTAATCAGCCGAGCAAATTCGATGTGTTATATTTAATATATATATCTGAATATATATATAACTATAAAGTTATTTCTTTTACTTTACTCCAAATATATGAAATATGCCAATTCGGAGTACAAATATGGAATTTTATGGAATTCTCCCATGGTGCAGTAAAATGCTGATATTAAGTATGTTGTAGTATTAGATGTGCGAAGTCAAATATTACATCATAGCCAGGAATTATTGAGCCATTGTTATTATAGTACCTCAATATGAGAAAAGATGGCCATTGGAGGTACCAATAGGAACTTTTTTTGCTTTCTCCACATTGGGCAGTAAAAATGGCTTGATATTAGTATGTTTTTATACCTCATGGCACATGAAACACTTTATTAACATATTTATTATTACATGTCGGTTTGAATTATACCTTACTGTTCTTAATCCTTTTGATTTTTGCAAAACGAAGTGAATACCTGTTTCTCCCAATATACCATCATTACTTTATTATATACATCAAAATTTTCTCGGCGATTTGACCACGGAGATCGTGGTAATCATGGCTTACCAGTTATCATTCACAGTCATATCCGACATCTCAATTAATATATTGTTATCTCGAAAAACAAGTTTCGCTTCTCGAGATCTCGA